ACTATTGCTGCAATACTCTGCTAGGGGTTAATCCTCAAACCCCAACACAGGTTTTCCTGCTTAGGCGGGTGTTGGACTAGATGACCTATAATGTCCCTTCCAACTCTGTTAATCTAAGAAGACAAGGTCCCTTCCAGCTCTAATCTGATTGAACACACACATACAACTTTTTAAGGACAGGTATAAACAAACATATGTGACATATCTATACATATTGATTTTCCCTATGCATTATTTCCCATTATAACAACAGGGAGAGAAACTAGCACTTAACTTGCAACTTAAATCTGGTGTAAAATTGTGTTGTTAGATATTTATAGTTGTAGCTATAATGAGACACAGGATATGTATAATGTGAGTGTTCTCCTCTCCTGAAATGCTAACATCCTCATTTGGCAATACTATTCACTTAATTTAAAATGCTTGTCCATTGCCAATGTATTTTTAAACATGCATATTTTTTAATAATATAATGGAGCCAATAACCACACTTTATATTCATTAATACAGAATCTTAAATAGAAGATTATGTCTTCTAAAGAAACTTCTGTAGGTACTACTATTGACTTTAACCCCTTTTTAAAGTACGAACATATAAAATCAATTAATTACAAATAACAATATCCAAGAAAACTATATCAATTTAATTATGGTTGGTGGAGAATAAAAATGTGCTATGGCTTTGAATTATAAAGTATTTATTTTCTAACAATAAAGTTAATTGTAGATGACTATAACCGGTGAATTGATTCATTGATACACACATACACACACACACACACACACAAACTTTTTAAGGACAGGTATAAACCTGAGATCTCTCTTTTAAACCAATGGGAGTGGAACGGATGGCACTGCAAGTTTAACAGAAGCCACTGATGATAGACAACTTTCTATAACTATCAGATCTGGTTTGCAAACATCTAGATGGAGGTTACAGTTAGAATTTTTTGTAGCTCTTTGTTGCCATTTAGTAGCTATGCAGATTTCTCCAGCCCTGATTCTGTTCATTATGGAAACTTAAAATAATTAGACTTAAACTTAAAACTATAAAATGATTACTTAAATAATTAGTTATGCAATTAATTTTTGCTTTTTATGTTTATAGGATTTATTTGGGGTGAAATTAAACAAATGTGGGATGGTGGCCTGCAAGATTACATTCATGACTGGTGGAATCTGATGGATTTTGTTATGAACTCTCTATACCTGGCAACAATATCACTGAAAATAGTTGCATTTTCAAAGGTAACAAACCCTAATAAATACTAGATGCTTAACATTTTCTTTGGATGTATTTTGTTCCGTATCTATTCTTCTGAATCCATGTAAATACAGGTAGTCCATGTTTAACTATCACAGTTGGGGCTCACAACTTGGTCATGAAGCAAAACAGTCACTAAGTGTAACCACAACTGTTCTTGTGATCTTATTTCAGCTTTCCTTTGATTTACAAACCTGTGGAGGTTGTAAATCTGAGGACTGATCATAAAGTTACTTTTTCATCACTGTTGTAAGTGTGAACTGTTTCTAAATGTGGCAGTTGCCACATTTAGGACTACCAGTAAGTGCTTACCATCTCAGTTTATGGTTACAAATTCTTTTAAATTTATACTTAGGTTTATTTCGACATCCAACATCTAGGACCAAGAAATGTAGGAAATTATCACTTTCTGCTTCCTAGAAATCAACTAACTCTGCATCTCTTCTATATAGGCATGTTAGAAAACCCATGTAATGATTCCATGGACCATGTGTATATATCATTAATTTCTCCCAATGATCAGTTTTATATTATTATTACTTATAAGATGTAACACAACCATCTTTCTCCATGTTTTATATTAAACATTCCATATTTCAGGCATCAAAAATGAGAGAAATGGAATCAAAAATATGTGGTGATCCATTTCCATTATTAATTCTCTAAGTCCCTGTGACAAAAAACGAAAATAATTTCCTGTGAAATCTATTCTATGCATAAAGTATCTGAATAGCCTAATTTCACAGAACCAAATGTTCTATGAGACATGAAAGAAGCTTAGATAGCTGTCACTTTGTAAAAAATGGCTTTGGAGTGGTATATTGTCATGATTTGGATTTGGAGGACATTAACATCACTCCCCTGCCATGGATGAACCACTTCTCTTGATGCTAGAGTTCTCCACAGCCATCACCCCCACCACCTTTGCAGGGAGGCAGAGTCTATTTAATCAGCCCATTCCAAGGCATCTGATAAACCCAATACAGTTTCAGAGGGCTCGGGGTTTTTCCTGAAACTCTGTTGCATGTTTCGGCAGATGCTTCCATCACAGCTTGGAATGAACAGGTGATGGGAGTGATGGACCAAATTGCACCTGTGGGGACTCTCTGTGTCAATGGATCTCGTAGAGCCCCATGGCACAGCAAGTGGCTCAGAGAGATGAAGCAACATAAGAGACTCCTAGAGTGCTTCTGGAGGATTACAAAGAGCAAGACCAACCAAGTACAGGTAAAAGCAGGTAAAGCCTGTATTAGGCTTTACCTTGTGGCAATAAAAGTGGCAAAGTGTTATTACTTATCTTGCTCATAGCCAACCAGCAGCCTTTTTTTCACATAACCAGATCTCTCCTGGGTAAGGAGGAACTGGGGGAAATCTTGCAAGAATATTCTCGGCATCTTTTAGATAAAGGCTAAAGCTGCTCAACTTCACTCAGAGTTGGACTCTGACTGGGCAGACACCTTGGACATATGAAAACATGTCTGAGCCTTGTTATCTGGGAGGAGTTCAAGCCAGTTACTCTTGAGGAAGTGGTCAGAGTTCTTGGGGCTGCGAGTTGAGCTACCTATGTTCTGGATTCATGCCCCAGGAGATGGTATGTGGTTGGGTCCAAATGGTGATTGTCTCTCTGCAGGAATGGATGGTACTATCTGCCTTGAAGGAGACAGTGGTATGCCCCCTTCTCAAGAGATCATCCTTCAACCCCACAATTATTGGACAATTTTCATCTTTTTAGGGAAAGCTGTTGAGAGGGTGGTTGGAGTATAGCTACAAAAGATTCTGGATGAGGTGGATTATCTGGACACTTTTCAGTCTGGGTTCAGGCCAGTGCATAAACACTGAAATGGCACTGGTCACACTTGTTGATGACCTTTAGAGAGCCTGTGATAGTAACCATTCTGGCCCCCTCAACAGCTTTTGATACCATTAACCATTGTATTCTCCCCCCCATCCCCGATTATTCTTTCTCTTTGACTCTGGATAGAGTGCTATTGCCCCAAATTGAACTGATGTGGAATTTGGGGGTCCTCCTGGACTCACGGCTACTGCTTGACCCATAGCAAGTGGGGGCCTCTGTCTGGTGTGCCTGTTGTACCTTTTCCTGTATCAGGAGGCCTTGCTCATGGTCACCCATATCTTGGTCGCCTCTTGTCTGGATTACTGCAATGGATTCTACATAGGACTGCCCTTGAAGGCCACCCAAAAACTTCAACTGATCCAGAATGCAGCATCATGCAAAGTAATGAGAGCCCCTAGGTTTGCCCATGTAACATCTCTGTTGTGTGAGCTGTGCTGATTTCCAGTTTCTTTCTAATTCAAAGTGCTGGTCACCATTTTTAAAGTGATGTCACAGGATGGGTTACCTGCAGGACTGCCTTTCCTTAAGGATATCTATCTGTGCTATCAGGCCCGATGGGGTGGGCACATTCCTGGTTTCTTTCCCCAAATATTGTCATCTAATGTGAGCTAGGAAGTATTCCATTTCCAGGGCAGCCCCTGCCTTGTAGAACATTTTGCCCCCAGAAAATCGTAGGCATCCACCCATTTAATTTTCCACAAAATCTTGAAAACCTGCTTTTTCTCCCAAGTGTTGGGAGATTAGATTATGGTATGTTAGCATGAATTGGTACCAGTTTTTGTTGTTTTTATTTTTTTATGTTTTAATTACAGTTGTGTTTCATAGGTTTAAAATATTTTTATATATTTTTTAATCTTTGGAAGCTGCCCAAAGTTGGCTGAAAGATGTGATGCTATCTTTGGAACGAACGAATGAATGAATGAATGAATGAATGAATGAATGAATGAATGAGCTTTATTTTGGGCATACTCTTGAATTCATAAAAAATAAAAGTGATTTAAAGGGATGCTACAATAGAGAAAGACTTATTAATATTCTCTCATTATTTTGTTTACAGTACAGTGGGCTGCTTGCAAGACAGAGCTGGGATATGTGGCATCCAACACTGGTTGCAGAGGCCCTGTTTGCTATTGCAAATATTTTTAGTTCTTTGCGTCTAATATCATTATTCACTGCAAATTCTCACTTGGGACCACTGCAGATCTCTCTTGGACGAATGCTACTGGATATTTTAAAATTTCTGTTCATCTACTGTCTTGTACTGCTAGCTTTTGCAAATGGACTTAACCAGCTATATTTTTATTATGAAACAAATGAACCTGGTCGCTGCAAAGGAATACGCTGTGAAAATCAAAATAATGCATTTTCAACGTAAGTTACGTTTTAAAAACCTTATTTTATACCATGTTTAAAATTACATATTTTATCTGTATCCTTTTTCCTTTCTCAGAATGGCAATTAGATTAGAGTAACAGAGTTGGAAGGGACCTTATAGCTCATCTAGTCCAACCTCCTGCCCAAGCACCATTTCTGACAAATGGCAGTCCAATCTCTTTTTGAAAGCCTCCAATGATGAAGCTCCCACAACTTCCGAAAGCAAGCTGTTCCATTGGTTGATTGTTCTCACTGTGAGAAAATTTCTCCTTATTTCCAGGTTAAATCTTTCCTTGTTCCATCCATTTTTCCTTGTCTGGCCTTCAGGTACTTTGGAAAATAGCTTTTGGGGTTTTTTGCCTAAGTGACTTTACTTTTCTCAACATTGAATTTATTTTTTTATTTTTCCTATTTTGTTAGATAGGACCCAGTGTTCAAGTCTGTCAAGATCCATCTGGATCTTGAGCCTATGCTCTAGGGTGATAGCTACTCCTGCTAGCTTAGTATCATCTGCAAATTTGGTAAGTTCCTCTTCTATTCCCTCATCTAAGTCGTTTATGAAGATATTGACGAGTACTGGGCCTAAGATGGAACCTTGTGGTACTTCACTGCTTATTTCCCTCCATGTAGATGTAGTACTGTTAAGGACTACTCATTGAGTATGGTTTGTCAGCCAGTTACAAATCCACCTGGTGGTGATACTATGTATCCCATTTTTTCCTACCTTACCAAGAAGTAAGTTGTGGTCTACTTTGTTGAATGCCTTGCTGAAGTGTAAATTATATTATGTCTACTGTATTTGGACTACTAATTTAGTCACTATGTTGAAGAATGAAATAAGATTGTTTTGCATGATCTGTTTGTTTGTTTTTTTGAAATTTTATTGGCTTTTTAAAAACAAACATAAACAAACAAAACATCAAAACATCAAACTTTCTTCCATAAGTATACAAACAGTGTGTCGGTTGGTTTACAAATTATTTTGTGCATCCATTTTGTAGTCTTCCATTACAGTTACATTACATAAAAGCTCATATCATCAATCAAAAATTAGATATCCTAGTATCATTATTAATCAATCATTTGACTATAGTTTTATTCATTCATATTTTACGAGATAACCATAATTTACTTAATTTATTTTATAACCATTCATATTATCCTCCCAAATCTATCCTAAATACATTTTGTAGATATAATAAAAAAAGAAATACGTCTTTATATATTTATTATTTTCTAAAAATCTACATATTTCATTACTGTATTTTATTATCTAACCATTGATAGAAAAGGTCCCAAATTTTATAAAATTGTTTATCCTCTTGTTCTCTAATTTCAAATGTCAATCTACACATTTCAGCACATTCCAATATTTTCTTAATAATTTCCTCCTGCGATGGTATTTTCTCATTTTTCCAGTTTTTAGCAAATACAATCCTAGCCGCTGTTAATACATTTACAATTAAATATTTCAATTCCTTACTGTATATTTCAGGTATATTTCCCAATAAAAATATCTCAGGTTTAAAGTCTATGTGTTGTTTTGTCATTTTTTCCAACCATGTGTGGATTATAGTCCAATATCTTTTTGCATCCGAGCATGTCCACCACATGTGGTAATATGAACCAGGTATCTGATGACATTTGCAACATTTATCCGATTTATTCTTGAACATCCTCGCAATTCTCGTCGGGGGTAAGTGCCACCTGTAAAACATCTTATACAAATTTTCTTTATAAGCTGTTGACATTGTCATTTTATAATTTTGAGACCACAATTTTTGCCATTTCTCTAAATCAATCCCATATCCAAAGTTCTTCCCCCAAGCAATCATAGTTTCTTTAACTTGTTCTTCTAGTTTGATTTCTAATAAATATCCATACAGTTTTTTAATCACCTTTTCATCAGTACCTGTCAGGATCTTATCTAGATCAGTCAATTTATCATAAAAACCTTCTGTTTTAAAATCTTTATCATACCTTGAATGTATTTGCGCATATGAAAACCAATTCATCTTTATACCTTGTTCCTCTAGTTTTTGCATAGATTTAAGTTCACCCTTTTCATTCAATATTTCCCCATATCTAATTGTTTGTTCCTTTTTATATATTATAGGATAAGAAAATGCTTCAATAGTTGATAGCCAGACTGGAATTTTCAAATAACATTGTCTTTTAATCTTCTCCCAGTTTAACCACAGAGACTCCCGTATAAAGTCTTCTAAAATACCCCTGTGTTTTAGTTCCCTTGTACCATAAAAAAGCGTTCCACCCCAACAACAGATCATGTCCTTCTAATGTCAACAATCTAGTATTTCTTAATGTTATCCATTCCTTGACCCACATCAGACTTGTAGCTTGGTAGTACTCCCAATCAGGCAAACCAAATCCTCCTCTAATTCTAGCATCTTGTAAAAGCTTTAACTTTATTCTCGCTTTCTTACCTTGCCATATATATTTCAACACAATTTTATTTAAATCTTCAAAATAGTCTTTTTCAAGCCTAATTGGAATTGTTTGGAACAAATATAAGATTCTGGGTAATATATTCATCTTGATTGTTGAGATTCTCCCTGTTAGTGACAGTTGTAGATTTTCCCATTTCGCCAAGTCTAGCGCTATCTGCTGTTTAAGTTTGATATAATTATTCTCTTTTAATCTTGCTGTCAAATGTATCCCCAAATACTTGATCTTATTCGTGACTTGAATTTTCAATAAATCTGCCAGTTCTTCCTTTTGTCTTGATAACATATTCTTTGTCAAAATCTTTGTCTTATCTTTGTTTATTTTCAGACCAGCCACCTTGCCATATGCCTCTATCTTTTCCAATAATTTTGGTGCTGTTTCTAAAGGGTCTTCTAAGATAAAAACCAAATTATCCGCAAAGGCTTGCAGCTTAAATTCTTCCTTTTTAATTTTCATTCCTTTTATACTCTTTTCATCTCTAATATTTCTGTTTAACACTTCCAAAGTTAACACGAATAGCAAAGGTGATAGTGGGCACTCTTGTCTTGTTCCTTTTCTTATGTTAATAGAGTCTGTCAATTCTCCCTCTATCATTACCTTTGCCGTTTGCTTGTAGTATATAGCTTCTATTGCTTGAATAAATTTTCTAGCAAAACCCATCTGTTCCAACAATAATAACATAAATCGCCAATTCACATTATCAAATGCCTTTTGTGCATCTAGAAATATCAAAGCCATTTTTTTTTTCAGGATGTGCCTCATAGTATTCCAAGGTATCCAAAATTACTCTCATATTATCTTTAATTTGTCTCTTTGGCAGAAATCCATTTTGGTCAGAATGAATAAAGTTATTTAAATATTTTTTAAGTCTTTCTGCCAATATTGAAGCAAAAATTTTATAGTCTGCATTTAATAGAGAAATAGGTCGATAGTTCTTAATTTACAATATATCAGCCTCCTCTTTTGGAATAAGTGTAATATAGGCTTCTGACCATGATTTGGGTATCTTTTTCTTTAACATAACTTCATTCATAACTTCTAGCAATGGGAGATTCAACGATTCTTGTAATGTTTTATAAAATTCTGCCGGAAGTCCATCTGGACCTGGTGCCTTTCCATTATTCTGCTTCTTAAGTGCTTCAGTTAACTCCATCATAGTTATATTGCTTTCTAACATTTTTTCAGTCTCTTTAGGTATCTTGGGTAAATTAGCATTCTGTAAATACTGCTTAACTCTTTCCTCATCAATATTCTCTTGCTTATATAATTTCCCATAAAAGTCTCGAATGATTTCCTTCTTCTCTTTACTGCCATGGCAAACTTGACCTTGATCATCTATTAACTGCAATATTTTCCTTGATTCTTTCTCCTTTCTCAGTTTATATGCTAACCATCTACCTGGTTTGTTTGCATCTTCAAAGTAGTTCTGTTTAGCACCTCTAATTTTCTGTGCTAATTCTTCTTTCTCTGTTTTGTGTTTTTGTGTTTAATTATATCCATTTTGTGTTTAATTATATCCATTTTTAGCTTGATGTCCTTTTTCTGTGGCATTTTCTGTAGCTCTTTTTCAAGTCTTTTATGCTCATCCTCTAGAGCCTTGGAGGCTTGCCTTTTCCTAGTATTCCTTTTCCTTGTATAATCTATTATTAAGCCTCAGCATATGCCTTCATTGTATCCCATACATTCTGAATTGATATATCTTCTTTTTTATTTTCTCTAAAGAAAAAGGCCATTTCTTTCTCCATCCACTGTGTGAAGTCTTTTTCCTTTAAAATAGTATTATTTAACGTCCATCTCGATCTTCTTTTTTGTCCTTTCCATTTAATTGTCATTGGATTGTCGTCTGCCCAAGTACTTCTTTCAATATTTATTTCTTGGATATTAGATATTAATTCTGTTGACATCCATATCATATCTATTCTGGACCATGATAAATGTCTATTTGAATAGAAGGTATATTGTTTAGTTTTAGCATTTCTTTCTCTCCATGTGTCTTTTAAATTTAATTCATCAACCATTTTAAAAAAGGATTTTGGGAGAGTCTTTCTGTTTTGCTTTGTTGTTGTTGCTGTATAGTCCAATTTATTGTCTACAATTCCATTAAAATCTCCCATCATAACTATATTGGCATAGTCCAGTTCAATTATTTTCATATGTAATTTTTTGTAAAATTCTTCTTGTTTGTCATTCGGAGCATAGATTGCAATCAGGAGTGTTTTCATATTATTGTCCATTATTTCCACCATTAGTACTCTTCCATCTTCATCAGTATAGATCAATTTTGCTGGGGTGGTTTTGCATGATCTGTTTTTAACAATCCCAACTGCTAGTTATTACTGTACTAGTTTCTAGATGTTGACAGGTTTGTTTTTTATTATCTTTTCCAGGTCTTCCTGGGTATTGGTGTTAGGCTGATTGGTCTGTAGTTTCTTGGGTCTGTTTTTTCCCCTTTTTTGAAGATGGGAACCACATCAGATGGGATGATAGGATGGGATGAAGATGGGAACCACATCAGCTCTTTTCTTGTCCTC